TTTAGTTACTGATACTAGCCAAAGGCTGTTACATAAGAAATAACATTTTAAAAATCCAAAGACCATACAGAATTTAAAAACATAAGAACCAGGCAGACCCCGTGTGAGGGCAATCTGGTTGCGACATCTGTTGCCACAACTGAACGCCAGGGTTAATTCAGCTGATCTGGCTGTGTAAGCGGGTGTCTCCTTCGTCCCTCACCACTGCTCTCATGAAGCTGTGCACAGGTGGAAGAGGACAACCATCCCAGACAGAATGAGTATTCTGTTTTCCGGCCAAAGGTATACAAGAGCTTCCTGTATCCTTCGTGCAACCTTGCCTCCTGATTGGCTATTATACCCTTCTGTATGTCTTTACCCACAGAGCAACATAAGAGTACTCATGTTGCATTAAAGAATTTCAAATTGTTCAGTAGAATTCAGTGGAGAGTTTTTGAGGTTATGTTTATGTATTACATTAGAATTCTGAGTAATTATATTTCTTTAAGGTAACAAAATTCTCTATGCCATAGAGAGCCACAACCATAGACCATGAATTGACATGATATCCTAATTCAGATTAAAAGGTGTTGCTGTGGGATAGTGTAGATTAAACCATAGCCTCAAATGTGAATTAAAAATTTAAAAATAATATAAGAACCAGTCTTATATTAACTTGAGCTATCTGTCTCTGAAAAGAAGGGAAGATCTTGTCTCACTAACCTGTTAGTGTTCTTTGAGAGTGTGAACAAACATGTGGACAAGGGGGATCCAATAGATATTGTTTACCTTGACTTCCGGAAAGCTTTTGATAAAGTTCCTCATCAAAGGCTCCTAAGTAAGCTCAAAAATCATGGGATAAAAGGACAAGTCCTATTATGGATCAAAAACTGGCTAATTAATAGAAAACAGAGAGTGAGTATACATGGGCAATTTTCTCAGTGGAAGGTGGTAAGCAGTGGGGTACCGCAGGGATCAATACTTGGTCCACTGCTTTTTAACTTGTTCATTAATGATTTGGAGTTGGGAGTAAGCAGTGAAGTGGCTAAATTTGCGGATGATACGAAGTTGTTCAGGGTGGTGAAAACCAGTGAAGATTGTGAGGCACTCCAAAGGGATCTGTCAAGGATGGGCAAGTGGGCGTCAACATGGCAAATGGGGTTCAATGTGTCCAAGTGCAAAGTGATGCACATTGGAGCCAAAAATCCTAAATATAAATACACATTGATGGGGTCTGAACTGGCAGAGACTGATCAAGAGAGAGATCTTGGAGTTGTAGTAGATAACTCACTGAAAATGTCGAGACAGTGTGTGACTGCAATTAAAAAGGCCAATGCTAAGGACGTCCTTCTTCACCCAAAGAGTGATTAACACTTGGAATTCACTGCCACAGGAAGTGGTGGTGGCTACAAGCATGGACGGCTTCAAAAGGGAATTAGATAAGCATATGGAGCAGAGGTCCATCAGTGGCTATTAGCCACAAGGTATAGATAGGGACTCTGGGGCAAGTGATGCTCTGTCATCTTGGTGCTGGGGGAGGGGTCAACAGTGGGAGGGCTTCTAATGTCCTGGCCCCACTGGTGGACCTCCTGATGGCACTGGTATTTCTGGCCACTGTGTGACACAGAGTGTTGGACTGGATGGGCCTTTGGCCTGATCCAACATTGGCATCTCTTATGTTCTTATGTTCTTAAGGTCTGTGCCAATGGAACTCTGGCAAAGATATACATTCCTGAAAGCATCCATTGGGGATTCCCTGTCGTCTTCCAAAGGGAGCTGTTCTGGATATGCAGAACATTTGTTTGTTCATGGAAGAGAGCAGGAAAAACTTCATGGACAAAGTTCCACACATGCGTCACTGTTCCTGAATTGCACCCAGCTATAGTCTTGTGCATCAAACTTTTGCACAGAAGCAGCACTTTAAGGCTGTACATTGGCATCCCCATCCTCATGGCAAGACAGATCAGAAAGTACATCCCTGTCAACATCCTGCAATGCAAAAGGGAAACACAATGGGTGTCTTCTGACCAGGTGACCATCACAATGTTGATGTACATTTAAATCCAATCTCAACCCATGGATATGTCCCAAGCAAGAAAACTCTTAATGAAGGACTGCTTCAGCACATGGATCTCCCTTACCATGTTGCTTACAGCACAAGTGTCGAAGGTGAATTTTTCAAAAAGAATCCAATGACTTGAACCCCTTTTTATAAAACAACTTAAATAAGAAAAACTAATGTTGTTGTTATGACACCTCATAATGATATTGCAGTAATCAGATATTTTTTCTCATAAAAACTCTGTCTGGGAGCACAGAAGTAGTTATACAGTCAACAGGAAGAGGGGGAAAGCAATGCTAATCCATTAACGGGCTTTCTTTTGAAAGCAACACTGTGAGCCAAAAATCAAACTCCCCTAAATAGGGGGAAAAAACATTGGGCGGGGGAGTTGTTTGCTTGAGCACTCGTTGCTTCCTTCATGCTGTGTTTCCTAAGCAGAGGGAAAGCAATGCTAATCCATTAACGGGCTTTCTTTTGAAAGCAACACTGTGAGCCAAAAATCAAACTCCTCTAAATAGGGGGAAAAAACATTGGGCGGGGGAGTTGTTTGCTTGAGCACTCGTTGCTTCCTTCATGCTGTGTTTCCTAAGCAGAGGGAGAATACAGAGTGCCAGAGGAGAAAAAGTCTGAAACTATCAAGGCTATTTCCTTTTTAAAAAATAATAAAATTAAGTATTTTGATTTGAAGGTAAGTGTTAGCAACAATATTTGTATGTTGAAAAATAAGTAGCTTCTCAGCCAAGACTGCTTCAGATTTTATTATGAAGATCAAAAGAGAATACCTCCTTTTGAGTCCAAAATTTTCACTCGAGCTTTTGTCCTGGTGCCAAGAACAGCATTCACAGGGGAGATCAGAACCACTTCAAAGACCTCATCGTCTTCCTCTAATCCGTCATAGGTAATTGCTATATTCCACATCTTGGTTGACATTCCTACCAGAAGTAAACATTTTAATTACATTTTAATTGCTTTTTCAATCAACCTAGGTGTCGAAGAAATATATTAATTAACATGTCTACAGCTACAATAGACTGGCTTGTATATACCATTGTGCTCCTACCCGCTGACTGGCCTCCTGTGGTTTTCCCAAATAACACTAACTAGAGACTAAATTTGTTCCTGAGCAATGATGATTCCATTCACTCAGCAACAAAGATCAGTTTTCTAGAAAGGAAAATAACAGCGTGCAAAGCAGAGGAAGGGTAGGGTTAACTCTTCTTGGAAATTTGGAAAAGAAATGGTGCACTCTTTATTATGAAATCTTAATGCTATGATTTCTGAAGTACCATGCCAATCATAAATGACATCTATTTGCAAAACCCAGCTGTCAAGCACCTTGATGTAAAGCCAATATGTTTCCACCACAAGTATAAGTATAATCTACTAGTGTCTTATTGGCTGTGAGCAACAGTAACTGCTGCTCAAGTCCATACCTAAAAAGCAATATTGAGAAACACTGAGATGAGAGCAGAGTTGCCATAGAAATGGATGTGAATGTAGAGGTTATTTGGGGGCAAAACATCCCAAGAATTTTAAGAGAAGCAAAAATATCTTGGGAGGTGGGATGAGAAGATGTCTTCTGAACACCCCTCCCCCAGTTTATGTGTTACATTTACAATACTTTACTGCTTTTTGTTGTTGTTGTTGAAAGGCTCTCACCATGGTTCACAAATTAAAACCAAAACCATTAACACTTAAACACTGACGTTTGGTCAATAAAACACTACAACAAATTGAATCAACATCAAAAACATCTTATATGTCAGCAGCAGCATAAAATGATCAGGCTCTAAAAGATTAAATTCCAGATCCAAAAGTCTGGCAGAATAATAAAGGTATTCAACAGCCTCTGAAAGGAGGCAAAGAAATGGTCCTCTGGGGGGAAGTTGCCTTGAGTTTTACCTAAAGCAAATGTTCATGTTTCCGTTTGAGTGGAAGATCAAAGGCATTTTAGCAGAAGAAAATGAAGTCAAGGCAGTGTACCCAGATCAAAGGCATTTTAGCAGAAGAAAATTAAGTCAAGGCAGGCCCCCCAGTCACGCATCCACGCACTGAGCAGACCCGGGCCCCTGTAGCTTCAAACAAGGCTGCTGAATCATGTGCCTACAGACCAACATAATTGAAACATTGGTTTCATATCATAGTACTTCAGAACTGTGTCTGGACCTTGATAATGAAACTCAATGTCATTTTTGACTGACAATGAATTTTTGAGAATTAAGATTTCTAGACACTTCCCCCACCCCAAGAACAAAATTCCCGCCTTTTGTATTATGTAAGTGGTGTAGCTTGCTGCTGAAAACCAATTGGGCTCACCATGTGGATTGGCTATACCATATGGAACATCTTCTTGCCAGCGCCAGCATTACAGAAAGGTGCTAAACTGGTACAGATTTTCCATGTCTGAGAGCAGTGGTGTATCACTTATGTGTGTTGATGCAGCCATGTCTCTCTCCAATATCAGAAAAGTGAATTTTGGCAGCAGTTACAATACCTGTATAAGGATGGTCTGTGGCTCAGTGACAAAGAACAAGCTTTGCATACAGAACGTTCCAGGTTCAATCCCTGGCATTTCCAGTTAAAGAATCTTAGGCAGCAGGAAAGATCTTTATGTTCCTGAGATTCTGGAAAGCTGCTTCCAATCAAAGCAAGAACAACCAATGGTATAAGGTAACTTCATGTGCTCGTAGGGTTGCCATAAGCCCCTAGAGGGCATTGCCTGATGGCACTCCTATAGCCAGTTAAAGAAAAAATAAAATAAAATGCTGTCAATCCTCTCCAGGAATTACTGGAAACTCTGTGGTTGTACCATAGATTTTCTGGCAATTTCTCGACAGGCATGGCAGGGTTCTTTCTCAGAAGAAAGGGGAAGATGTAGGGATCCTTCTCACACTGGTGTATCTTCCATGAAATTTTTTAACCTATTGTCTACGCTGGATGGGATAGGCTACAATAAACCTGTGCTGTAACTAGATATGCTGCCACTCTCTACCTCTTTCAATAAAGTGATCCATTTTCAATGGTTAGCATAGCTGTATGCAGCCACCCAGCACATGCACTGACAGCAGCACACCAGATCATCTTACTTGGCAACTGGGGCCAGATCTCCACTCAAGCAACCGAGGCACTGGCAGCCCTGCTGATGGCAGCAGTCTGGAAGAAGGGAACAGGCATCTCCTAGACCTACACAGCCACCAGCCAAAACCAAGGCCAATCCCTCTGATGCTGGTAACACCATTGTGGCTTGTCTTACTCCAAGCATGTCTGGGCAAGTACAACCCTTCTCTCAGCCCTGCACTCCATTTTGCTTCCTGGCACATCAACATCTTCACAGGTAAATGTTGCTTTTTTTTTTGTCACCCGAACCAAAAACGTTCCCTGCCCTAGGGTTGGAATCTTTGAGCCACATCTTACCTGGATCAAACTGAATAAGCTTTGAAGGTACCACTGTAAAATCCTTTCCTGATAAAGCCGTCACTTCAGTGACCTAAAAGAAAAGATGGTGAAAAAAATCTCTGAGGCCAAGCAGGAATCCAATTTTGTGAAGAGTGAGGGGGAGGCTAAGGTCTGGATGGGTCCCATGGATCCCAGGACACACTGGGTGCATTCAGACGGGGCATTTACAACGGTATAGGTGCCGGTTAGAATCGGTGTACTTACCGGCGTTCACACGGCGAACATCTGCCTTCCTTCCCTAACTGTTGCAAAGAGCTTTAAACCGTTGTATTCTGCCGCTAGGTCCCCAAGTGGTGGTATCCTGAGTGCAACGGTTGTAATCGCTTTACCCCCCCCCCCGTCTGATCGCTCTCCACCGTTGTAGAGCCACTTCCGTTCGGAAACACGAGGCTTCCGATTTTCGCCTGCCATTTTTTTTTAAGGTCGGCGATATGCGCTTGGGCGAAGCTTCGCCCCGGCGTTTGTTTAAAAAAAAGAAAGAAAAGGTCCTTAGTTTAACGTTTTAGAGGAGTCCGGGACCTCAGGGAGGCCAGTTTGCTCTTTAAACTTTAAAGGTAAGTTCTCTCTTCAGGGCATGCTTTTCTGGATGGGGTGTTTTGCACATGCCTTAAGATAGCCATTCTGTGGATGGCTGCCTATGCGCATGCGCAAACTGAGGGTCCAACGCACGCTGTGTGTGAACGGGCATACAGCGATAGGCTCCGCAGACAGGAGGTAAGTGTGATCGCGTTTCAGCCGGCATAAACTGCAACGGTTCCAACCGGTACAGCTTATGCCGGCTGAAACGCCCCATCTGAACGCACCTCCTGTGTGGTTCAGCTTGCAACCTTCCAAATGGAGATAAGGATTGGAGAGTGTCCTGGCCAGCATGATAAGAGCGGGTATAAAGTGCAAAGGTACCATGGGAGACCACTGAAAATGAAACAAAAGCTTCTAGCAAGTCTGATTTACTACTGACAAAGTCTACAAGCATATTTATAACAAATTCCACAGCTGCTCCATTAGGGAAGGAGGTACAGTCATCTCAGGTATTGTTTCCTCAACAGAAATTACCCCCGCCCTAACTGATATGGGAATAGGGAAAAAGGCTCTCCCCCACCCCAACAGCAGCTAACAGTGGCTGGGTGGGAGAAGATTTTAATTGGGAAAACAGGCAAGCGGGGCAGGAAAAGTTAAATCCCTTTTTCAGTACCGTAGCCCAGTTCCAAATTATTCACTTTCTCTCCCACACAGCTGAATCATAAATGTCAAACAAAGCATGGAAAATGCAGTCATGTATCTCCCATATCCTGTGTAGTTTGCCCGTAAGAAACTACAGTGTCTTAAAAAAAATACGCCATGTCATTCAAGTCTATAGCTCTTAGCAATTTTCAAAGGGTAGGCCACAGAAGATATTCTGCTGGGCCATGGGGATACTGCCATATATAGGTGTATAGTATATGACACAAGGGAACTAGCCATGCAACCCTAGGTTTGCATTATAAATGTGACTATCAGCTTCAGCATTCATTTCCTCATGGATCATATGTATATACTTGTAAACAGGGCACAGAGTTGTTATGTAAATCAGTTATGGGTGCGGACAGCAGTGACACTTCATCTGCGAAATCTGGGTGTGTCTGTGATCCTATTTCCTTAACAGCAGTGGAATAACTCTCCAATACAAGCTGGGGCGGGGGACGGTGTACTTTTCTGACAGCTATCAACAATGCCTGTGGAATGCTATTGCCATCATTCTACACATAGAGAACTGTGTGTTGAAAATGTTTGTGAAAATGAGGTGGGGAAGGAAGAGAAATACCCTTTTGTGAATATTAAGAACCATTTTTGTAAGTGTTGGATCTAAAGTTATTCCTGGATGTCAGGAAAGAAAAATCGCATAAGCTCGGTTAGGGAATGAAACCACATTTATAAAAAGACAGGGAACAAGTCTTTTGAAATTAGGGCTGCCAAGTGGAGGCGGGGGGCAGGTAGCCCCCCGCTTTGGAGGCCCAATTTCCGACGCCGTGGAATCGGGCCCCGGGGGGAACCCCACCCCTGCGTGCGCGTCACCAGGAAGTGACGTGGGCAGGCCTGGCACGCTGGGGGCTAGGGCTGCCAAATGCAGCCGGGGGGCGGGGAATCCCCCGTTTCGGAGCCCCGATTCCCGGCGCGCCGGAATCGGGGCCCGGGGGAAACCCCACCCCCGCGTGCGCGTCACCAGGAAGTGACATTGCACGCTGGGGGCGGGGCCACGCCATTTGAGGGGAAAACTCTTTGTTTTCCCCTCAAATGGTGTGGCGCCGCCCAGCGTGTGACGTCACTTCCGGTGACGCTCCGGCGGCGCGCACGCGCGCACACACACACGGAAGACTCCCGGACGGGAAGGAGCCTCCCCCGCCGGTGAGTCAAATCTATTTGGCAACCCTACTGGGAATTTTCTCTCCCTTGTGTGAAAAGTCTTAGCTACCAAAATTCCCCTGCTGCTATTAAAATTAAAAAAGCCCTGTCTTTCCTTTTATATAGTCTGGAGTCTGGAGATAAGCCAGAAACATGGAGATATATGGCTACAGCATTTAAAAACTGGGTCCCATCTTGTAGGTATAATTAAAGGTGGGCCTTCAGTTTGCACAGGTTGACAGTAGTAACTAAGCTAGGCCTTGGCTGGTTAACTACAGAGCTTTCCTATCACTCAGCAATTGCAAGGTTACCTATAAATGCTCAATAAAACTCTGCAAATCAATTCTACATAAGTTTAGGCTCCAGTAAAACTGTGTTATTTCTTAAGAAAAGATTACCTTCACTGCAACAAAGGCAGAATCTGTGGTATGCCCCAATCGGGTGACTTTCAAAGGCAGAGTCCCCACATTTTCACATACTTCATAATGATCTTGTTGCATTTCAATTTTAGACCACTTTAACTCCAGACTGTGTGGGAGAGAGGAGAAAGAAAAAGATACAAAATCACATTGGGGGGAAAACCTTCATAGCAATTTTAGAAACCCTACCTGGCTGAGGATTTCAGGCGAGTGTAATTTCTTTCCTCTGTGTTATCTTCCTACCAATGTGCAATTGTGTTAAATTGCCCACCAATAAGAAGAAAGTCATGAGCAGGGCTTAATTTGAGCTAAGGCTTACGAGAACTAAAAAATGAATGTTTTCTCTAAAAGCTGGCTGCCTGCTACCTGGCATCTGAGATTAGGGGTTATTCAGGGAATACACATATTTGGAACTAGATTGCTACCTGTCTGTTTTGGGGCATAAACAGGAGATAACACATTATACCTGTACTTCAAGGAATTATTACTGACTACCTATAGATTTCTGTACAAAATTCAAGACATTGGTTTTGATCTTTAAAGCTCTAAATTGTTTGTGTCTAAGACATATGAGGGAACACCTTCTCCTCTATGAATCTGCCCAGTCTTTAAGGTCTGCCAGCAGGACCCTGCACAAAATCCCCATCTTTGGTAGTCGCCGGCTGGCATCCGCTAGGAGCAGGGCCTTTCCAGTGATCTCTCCAATTCTGAAAACTACACCACCCTCAGGGTATTCATCTGTCCCACTCACTTAAGTGCGTTCTGAGATAAAGTAAAATTATCTTGTTCTCCCCCAGGTATTAAACATTTGCTTTTTAAAAAACATCTGATTTGCCCAAGGTTTTTACATTTTGACTCTGCAGTTCTTATTAAGATTTGTTCTGTGTCTTTAGAAGGCTTCTCCCATTTCAGGCAGACAGACAGCCTATGTGAAGTTTAGCAGAAATGTGGAACAGGGAGACCTCTGCCGTAGACTTGTGCCTCCCTCAGCATCTGGCTATTTTGCAAAAGAATAAGGGAGACTGAAAGTCCGCTCCCATATGCCTTCATTTCCCTATTTTATATTGAATTTTGTTATCAATCTTGGGTCTTTTGGTGGTGGTGGGGGAAGCACAATACAAATGCAATTAATACTCAAAATAAATAGTAATTTTGTGATTAAAATGCTTTTAGTGTTTTGTTTTATGTAGTAAACTGCTTTGAATGTAGTATAACATTAGGAATGTACGTGTGCACGTGTGCGCACACATACACAAACATCCTGATTTTTCTCCCCAAAGGGAACACAAAGCAGTTTACAATTTTGTTCTTCATCTTATCCTCACGGCAACTCTAGGGTGAAGTTTGGGCAAGGAAGAGCAGGGTGACCCAGAAAGCTTCCATGGGAGAGCTGAGGTTTCGAACCAGGGTCTTCTAGATTCTTGTCTGACACTCTATTCACAACACTAGACTAGGCCTAGACATAAGAACTGAAGAGTTTTGACTAGAACAGAGAAAAGTGACAATACACATTTAAACTGCTGGTCTGAATCAACAGCATGGCATTCTAGTATTATCAAAAAGGTACAGATTGACACCTTTCTCTCCACTGTCAGTTGTATCTCATCAGCTCCCTAGGATGATTTCAGAATGTCATGATTCTCAGGAAAAAGAAAAAAAGGGCAGGCTTCCTAACTGGTTGTTCTACATTTTTGCAGGGTAGACTCAGGACTAACTGGGTAGCTGCTCCACCTTTTCCAAGAAGGAATTGCTTTGCACATGAGAAAACTGGCACACAGAACAGAAACTTGTCTGAACAGCAGTGGGCTCATTTTCAAAGGCTTGTCCTGTGACATCTGGATATAAAATGTGCCCATATAGTTGATGTTAGTATATTATAAAAAAGGGACTTCTGGAAAACTTTTTTTGGGGAAAATGATCTTGTTGCATTTCAATTATATTATAAAAAAGGGACTTCTGGAAAACAATGTCTGTTGACCACAGAAATTTAGGTGAACACATAATAATTTGGCTGAGCCATAAAATTAATCACTGGTACATCTCCTCCCCCTCCCCCAGATGTATGTTTTGGCCAAATTTTAATAAGCAAGCTATAATATTGAAAGCTTCCCTTACAGGTCAAGGTGTTGGGCTCTGAACTTGGAAAATGGGATTCAGATCCTCCATCACCCATTGAGCTCACTGGCAGGCCTTGGAAGCTGGAACAGTCACTAACATCCAGCCTGAGCTACCTCACAGTGTGGTGGTGAGGAGAAAATTGGCAAAACTCTCACATGTGTAGGGTTACGTTCCTTGGAGGAAGAGTGGGATGCTGAGCTGAACTGAGGAGAGACATACTTCAGACTATGGAGCACAGAGAGATAAGATTTTGCTCTCCTAGTCCACATGTTCCTTTTCCTGTAACTACAGACTGCTCCCCACACATTTCTCACTTTATATATGAATACATGAACAAACATACATGGCTGCCTCCTCACCTATAGTTTTACTCCATAACTGCATCCCATAGCATTTATGATGCTGACAGTGCAGCACTGGAGAGGTACACAGGAATGAGTAGGCCTGCAGCCATGTTAGAGCCAACTCCACAGGCTCCATTAATTGTCACAAGTTGGCCACCTATGATTTATGGGACAACTCCCATGGATATAAAAAAATTGGAGTTACACCCTATTTTGATGAACATTGGGAGATAAATGGCACCTATATCCCATCTCAAGAATGTCTGCCTGCAGGTTTCACACTTCAGTGTAAAATTATTATCCTTATAAAAGAAAACCTAGCAAATTATTTGTGGCTGAATAAGGAGACATCTCGTGGCAGATGCTGGAAGTGCAGGTACATAATTAACTCATCCTTCTACAATTTCAGTCTAGGTAATTCAGAAAGAGAACTGATATGCTTTAGATTTTGCTCCTTTCAAGGTTCAATATGGTTTGATCACACTGATTCTATTACTTAAAGATTACCAGTTTCTGTCTTTTTAACTCATTTCAAATCCTAAGAAGTTATAACAGACTAGCAAAAGAAGTGTTACTAATTGTACACAGTGAACAAAATTGTGCCTTCCTTCTTAGTTTGGCTGAAAAGAATACAAGTAGATGGAAGCGAAAGAGGCAGATTTCTCAGAATCTGAATGTTTAGGCACATGTTGCCCATTTCTAATTGTCACCATCTTAAAGGTTACGTACAAAGCAATTTGAAAAGGGTCAGAGAACACTATTGGGAAGTAACCAATACATCTCAATGCTTTTTGAAGGACATAAAAACCTTCTTGCAGGGCATGAATATTATACAGCTTTCTTCCCTTCAACAAATGTACAGGGGAACTTTTAAACAAGTTCATCTCCCTCTGTGGACAGGGTCACCAACCTCCATGGTGGCACATGGAACTCTCCTGCTATGATAGTTGAACTCTAGATGAGCAAGATCAGTTTACCCAGACCCAGCTGAGCTCATTCCCCCGCCCCTCCCCGAGCCCTCCCCAAAATCTCCAGGTATTTCTCAGCCCAGAGCTGGCAACCATATCTGTGAAGAAACAAATGAAGCTCAAAATACATTGTATAGATCATTTCCCAATAAATACTCTTTCCTAAATTCACCCAAACTACCTTCCACTACACTTGGGCTTGCAGGTTGTGATCACTCAAGTAAAAAAGAAAGTTTATAGATGGGTCTTGCTAAAATATTGGTAGCACAATGTTAGGGAAATAAAAGGTGTGTTGGCTTGGCTTTGATGGCCCCTTTTATTGCTGATGCGTAAAACCCTCACTGAAAAGTAATCCTTATGTCTACTGAACTGAACAGAGTCTCTGAAGCCCCAATCCAGAGCTAGAGTGACCTCTAGCTGTCAAAATGTGCAAATAGAGGTACCTTTCTTCATTCACAATTCAGCCATGGAATCCCTTAGCATTTAATTTACAGTAAGACTTTTCCTCTATGGACCCATGCCGTGCTATTAATCACAGTGTTGCATAGTGGGTAAAATGGATGACAAGCCTTTTCCTGTTCCATACAGGAACTGAGTCACCCATAGCACTGCGGAGAGGGTACATCATGGAAAATAATATAAATCTTGTGTTTGAAGGGGCACACAGATTGTGAGAAAAGGGGTGTCATCCATTTTACAACTAGCCCTATTAGGCCAGTGCAAAGCTATGCAAACTTAAAATCCTGCAGGAAGTTTAAGCATAGGCATATAACTAGGGCTAGTATTTCTGAAATCTCAGCTCCAAGCGCAAGAACATTCTTTTCATTATTACTTCAACAAGTCTAGAGCTGATTTCCAATAATGAAAATAGGCTCTGGGGTTCAAACATAAACATGTTTATTTCTTCAAGGCTTTCATAGTTTTAAAAGAAACAAAATGGTAAAATCTGATTGCCCTTCTCAGATCAAGTCCTTTTGTTTTCGTGGGATAGGGTGGGGTATAAATTAAAGAAATAATAATAATATGAGAATGTTTCAAAACTAGAGAGCTATGTCATTCCAAAACTTGTATGCTCGTGTGAAACAGAAGCTGCTTTATTCAAACATAACCCATTATCTTATTCTCTGTCTCTCAAGATGTAACTAAAAGTGATGCTATGAGACAGGCTACATGGGACACAGTCATGTAAAATATTTCCCACAATCAGTTTTTTTAAAAAGACAAAAGCAGCTACAGAAGTTGTATTTTGGAGCAGGAGGTTATAGAGGATGGAGGAAGAACTTGTGGGGTAATTGTCCTACCAGGGTCCTACGGAACTTACTTCAGTTCCACAGGGCCTGCAAGATGGACCTCTTCCAGCAGGCGTTTGACTACATTTACCATCTTGATATAACATAAGAGCCTTCTCTGGGATTTTCCCCCTCAGCTATGATTGTACTAACAGATTCCTGTTATGGAAAATATTGGATTATGGTTCACCGTTGCATAGGAAATTTATGTATAGCACTTAAGATTTTATGTGGTTTTAAACTGTTTAAAATGTTTACGTAAGCCGCCCTGAGCCTGCCTTGGTGGAGAGGGCAGGGTATATATCTAACAAACTAACAAACAAATAAATAATAAAACTGTGCCCCCAACTGTTCATCTCCTAAGGGAAAAGACAGAGTTGGCATGTTATGGTGGATGGATAAGAGACGGTGCCATAAATCAGGAAGAGTCCCAATGACATATATCACTTCTGGCCAGGCTTCGCAAAGCCATGTTCTCTCTGCCTCAGCACTTCCACTGCACTATGGGGAAGATAACATTACCCTTCCACAAAGACTACAGCAAGATTGTTTGTTGCTGTTTCTGGCTACAGGGAAGAAAGGGTTAAAAAAAACCCACTAAATTATAGCAAGACGGAAGGCAGGATGCCCAGCCCTCTTTCCTTCAGTCCTGCTACAACTTACTTTTTAAAACTCTTTCCTCTCTATAGGCAGCAACTGCATCATCTCTGTTCAGCACATTTGGTAAATTGGGTCCAGGAGAGGATTTCCATGGAAGGCAGGATGATTTTCACCCCTTCTCCCCTCTTCCTGCAGACTATTGACTTGCCCCAGGCTTTTTTCTTTCCTTTTGGAGGGGTCCCCCTGACCCACAGGAGCAGCGTTTAGGGCGGCACCAGGAAGGGGGAGGCAAGAAGCTTGCACCAAACTAATGGAAATCACGCATTCCAAGGGAATCCAAGCCAGTAAGTGGCATGGCTTAAGGCAGGAAGCAAAAACGAGAGTGTTTAGGGGAAGAAAGCATTTACATTTGAGGTGCCACAGACATTCCATCAGGATTAGCAACTTGAATCTCCAGATTGTCTGAGTTTCCCTCCCAGTACCGATCAATGATATAAAGTATGGTTTTGCTTCTTAAATCCCTTTGATTGAATTCTTCCTGAATAAATCCACCTGAAAAAACCCAAGGGAAATACAAAAATGTGATTAGCACCCTCTGTAAGCCGCCCAGAGACCCTTAGGGGTTAGGGCGGGATAGCAAATCGAATACATAAATAAATAAATAAATAAATAAAAGAGCAAAATATCAAAGCAGAGGCTGAATTCAGATGTAACAAGCAGCAAGGGCTTGTGTTTTATAGCAAGGAGTCTTGGAAATCCTTCGGCTCCTCCATTCCCCTTTCCTCCTCATTGAAACATTCCCAACAGATCAGAATTTGTCATGATATCTGAACTGGATGAAACGACAGATTGTGGTTTGTTGTCTAGCATACGAGCCAGGATTCCAAAACAGGATTAAGCAAATTTTGGAATCCTAATTGTTGGCAAGAGAATATACCACTGTTAGTTGGTACACCCATTTTGGACTTTGCGGGAACTTGTGGCTTATTAAATTTTGGAATCCTAATTGTTGGCAAGAAAATATACCACCGTTCGTTGGTACATCCATTTTGGACTCCATGAGAACTTGTGGCTTATTTGGGAACCAGGAAATGTTCATTTGAAGAGAGGTACACAAGCCTGACAGTCCTCAAGGCTCATTCCCATGCTGATAAACCATAGTTTGTCTTTGCATTGGAACAGAGCCCGTTAGTAGCAATATTAGCTTTAAATTCTTTGTAAGAAAACCCATCAGAAATGTGGGATGTGCTGTTCCCAAGAAACCAATAAAACCAAACACCCTGGATTGAAGTGTGAGGACTAGAGTTTGAGCAGGCTTCAACTAGGCGGACTCTGTGTGTTGCATTATGCCCTGCACCAGTATACCAAGCACTCAGGCACAACCCAAAGTAACAATTCCACAAACCTTTCATATTATCTTTTTCTAACTAATATACCACTAAAATCTATTAGTGCTGTTTTGAAAAAGAAAAGAGTTTGAAGGTGCACTGAAAGTAGTTTTTGCTCTTCAGGAAATAACTGTAAAGAAGGCTCAGACGGTAGTTGCGTTGGTCTGCAGTACAGGAGCTAGATCTAAATCAAATATCCACCTTAGAGACCCAGTAACATTTTCAAGGCATAAGTTTTTGAGAGTCAAAGCTCCATCAAATATACTTGTACCTGGTCTCTAAGACATTACTGGACTCAAATCTAACTGTTAAGAAAGCTTCCTCTGAGAGATCGTGGAAGAGAATGATATTATGAATCAAAATGGAATGAAACAGGCTATTTAAAAAATCACTTGGAATCTACACATCTCTGCAGAGTTCTAACTATATCTTTCCTGACTGCTTCTACTGATGAAGCTTTGTAGAGAATTCTTCTTGCTTTGCTACAAGTCTACTTTAAGAGGAAGCTGTAATGCTACTCAACAGAAGCTGTCTTGAACTATATTAAACGGAGGTGAACTGACATAATACCTGTTGTTGTATTTTGCAAGTAGCCATATTGAGGTCCTCGTAAAATTCTAAAAATAATCTGGTCATCATCAACACCACAATTTGATATCTTTAGTGACCTAGTTGTAATGTAAATGCCGTAATTGCCATTCTTCAGAAGTTCCACATCAGAAGCACAACGGAGGTGGATAATTTCTGATGAAGCTTTTACTGCACCATCCACCTGAAACAAAAGTTATACATAGCTGATTCGGGTCAAGTTGATCAAGAGGAGAAGAAGAAATCAACATATCCCTCTTTCTTTGGCCAAAACAGGCCAAGCTCTACTTTGTGGAAACGAACATTTGTACTTTCTCACAGTCAACCCAAGGGTTCTGAAAGGCACTGATATGGTTAACCTACTCCTATACTTCCTGGAAAACTGAAACTTAACACACATACAGTCCAAGGTGACCTGGTTACTAGAAAAGCTTGAAAGAGGGATATATTTCCCCCAAAATGAAGACTCTAGAAAAGCTTGAAAGAGGGATATATTTGCCCCAAAATGAAGACTAAAAGTGTACCCATAAATGAGTGAGGTACTTCCAACAAACAAGATATTTGGTATAAAAATAGTCCTAGAGACTCTTATCACAAGCAGTCAGAAATGTGTATTTACATTTGTAGAATGCAACATGAATACTTTACCATGTGTATGTGTGTGTGGAACTTGCCTGAATGATGAACGCCAAAGGCTCTGTTTGCACCTTGCCATTTACAACGAAGCCTTCGTTCACTCCATCTGTTGCCACAAATGTAAATCTGTCGATCCGAGAATCCCCTCCTCCATGTTTATAAGCAATGTTCAGATTGTCCACATCTTGCTGGCTGAAGCTTTGCTGCCACAGCCCAGACTCTCTGTTGTATAGCTGTCCGTATTGTGGAAGCTGCGCCAGAAGAAAGGAGAGGTTTTGTGGAGCCGTATCTGGGTCTGAAAGCTGTAGAACATCTGGAGAGAGGAATGCCATACCACCTTCAAGCAATCGTAACCCCTCATTCTTGACCACTGTGGGAAATGCCCGGTCTACTGTTTCCAGAATGATGTCAAACTTTCCATGTTTAATTCTTAGCCCGTTGCTGACGACAAATCTGGCAAAAAGAGGCAAGGCAGCCTTCAGCATGTGTTCCTGTTTCACCATCTACTGAAATGAAATATAACAAACACCTTTACTAAAGGGCTTGCTTCTTGGTAACTCGGAGATACACATCAAGACCTTGATAAAATGGTTCTTGTGAAGCACAAACTCAGACACAGCATTCCAAGGATTTATAAACCAAACTAACTCCAAAAGTTAATTGGAAGTTGTCGGAAATTTCTACTGAGGATGTGTATAGATTACACACATTCTTTAGTATTCTGGGATGTTTCTTTTTAGCAGCACAAATTAAAGTGTTACAGAATTACAACTTTGTTGTAAACCATGGATTGCACAGGAAATTACGCCCCATGCTGTTGCTTTCACTAGAACTGTTTTCCACAGATAAACTTCAATACTAAGGCCTGGTTCACACAGTTGGCCTCAGCCTCCATGTTATCATTTTGGGCATACATGCACAGCATTGAATGGAAGGTATATTGTATGAATCACAAGTACACACATACCGATGCGGTCAGTTACTATGGTTATTGTGATTGGGAGGGATATATTTTGGCCCCTAAATGACTGCAGGAAAAATGTCCATTGATGACTGTTTGCACTTCCATTTTCACCTACATTATTCACATGACCACCTAGAAGAGAGTTCTTCAAGGTAAGCACAGACAAGCTTGAGGTAGAACGAAAACATTTGCCCAAAATGGTAACCCAGTGGCCTTTTAAAAACTGGATAATCTGTTTTGGATTATGGAAACTGAAAGCAGAAAAACAGCAGATGGGGAAAGGATAGATAACCCTTTCCTTACCTGCTGTTTCTCTGAGCCAAACTGCCCCTCAATTGAGATTTCTACCATTCTGTTTTCTGCTCTCAATTATCCCCTCTCCAAGTATCTTCTCCAGTTTTAAAAAACAAGTGATTGGTCTACCATTGAACTGATTGGTGCATATCCTGTAGCTTGGCCTTACCTATAGCTTAAACTGTTGATATTTTATTCCACATTGCTATTACGACCAATTCTTTTTAAACCAATAAATACTATATTTAATCATGCGTATTTGTTGTTGGATGAGTCTTGTATATTTTTGTACATGACCTGGAGTTTCAAGACAGAATCTGTGGGTTTCTAAGTAAATTTAGGTATAACTGGGAGCCACTGTGGTTAAGCCTTTGAACTAGTATCTGGGACACCCAGGTCCAAATCCCCTCTTGTGTCATGAGGACTCACTGGGTGACCTTGGGCCAGGCAAACTCTCTCAGCCTTGGGACATGCATACACTCTCAGAGTCGTCGTGTGGATAAAATGGAGGAGGTGAAAATGATGCAAACTGCTTTGGATCCCCATTGGGGAGAAAAGTAGGGGACAAATGAAATAAATAAATGAAACTGGTGCTTTTCTCCAGAATAACAAACATGAGTTGTTAAGTCCTTTTGTGGCAGTGTCTGCTAATATCATCTGAGAATATAGATGTCCAGTAAAGTTTAAGAATCATTTATTTACTGTATATGTACAGTATCAAACCAGACAAGTCTATAGAGTGGCTTATAGGACTAAAAACACTAATATAAGTCATAATAATTAAAACTAAAAGCAACGATAAAGCTCAGAATCAACAATTTCCAGAAAACAGAAATCAAATAATTATAGACCAACTAACCCCTTAAAAACCTTCTAAAACAAAACCGTTTGGCCCTGACCTGGATAGCCCAGGCAAGCCTGATCTTGTCAGATCTCGGAAGCTAAGCAGGGCTGGCCCTGCCAAGAACTTGTACGGGAGACCTCCAAGGAATACCAGGGCCGGGATGCAGAGGCAGGCAATAGAAAGCCACCTCTCTGAAATGTCCAAGCCCCACTAGGGGTCACCAGAAATCAACCATGATTTCCAGGCGCACGCGTGCGTGAACACACACACACAAATTTAAACAAAACTGTTTGGGCTTGACATCTGACATTTTTAAAGGAAGGAGAAAGCCAAGTCTTCCCAGGGAGACCATTTAACATTCATGTTTCCACCACTACAAAAGTTCTGTCTTGTATAATAAAACACTGCACCCAGAGGTCATTTCGGGGGGGATCGCGGGGATCACAGTTCCCCCGGGTGAGGTACAGGGGGCGGGGCACATGACGAAGCCCTGCCCCCTGCTTCCGGCCGCCCCACTTCCGGCCCTCATTCAGCCAGGAGGAGGCAGGAGAAGAGGGAGGATAAGTTGCTTCCTCCCTGCCTCTCCCCACCCCTGCCTGCCTGGGGCCAGGGAGGGCCTTCGCGGGGCTTCCTTGCACTCCCGAGCAGCTCCATCGCCAAGCCCCTCATGGGGCTCGGCAGTGGAGCTGCAAGGCCGGCGGCGGCGGCCCGGACCATTGGGGGCGGGGTGTATGGCCTTATGACACACTTCCGATGATGTCAGGGGGTGTGGCCTTATGACACACTTCCGGTGATGTCAGGGGGT